CACCCCCCAGCTACTAATTAAGTAGTATTTGCTTCTAGTTGTACAATTTTTGAGCAACTTTAACATTCCTAATGAATAAGGAATAACTTTAGCATTCCTAAGGAATAAAGAATAAGGGCGTGCATAAGCTCACCAACGTGCCTACCGTCCCTGTCCTATTGTTTCTTTTATTTTGTTTTTATTTTTCTTATATGTATCCATGTATTCATAACTATGTTTTTATTTATACCTATTATCTTGCAAGCAATTGACAAACCAAATAAATAAAATAAATAAATAAATAACTTTTATTAGACTAAAGAGAAGAGAGGAGCAATAAGGGGACTGGATTAGGGGGCTGGAGACTAAAACATATGAAGAACGGTTACAGGAACCGGGCTTGGCTAGTCTAGTGAAGAGAAGGACCAGGGGAGACAGGGGAGCAGTCTTCCAATATTTGAGGGGCTGCCACAGAGAGGAAAGAGTCAAGCTATTTTCTAAAATGCCTGAAGGCTAGATAAGGAATAATGGATTGAAACTGAACAAGGAGAGATTTAACCTGGAAATAAGGAGAAATTTTCTGACAGTCCGAACAATCAACCAGTGGAACAGCTTGCCCTCAGAAGTTGTGGGAGCTTCATCATTGGAGGCTTTCAAGAAGAGATTAAACTGCCATTTGTCAGAAATGGTATAGGGTCTCCTGCTTGGGTGGGGGTTGGACTAGATGACCTACAAGATCCCTTCCAACTCTGTGAATCTGTAATCTCTAAGAATTGCACATCCTACATTATATTCTAATAGCAAGTGATTATTTTGTCTGATATATTTTACTTGCAATTTTCAACCATCCAACTTGGTAAACATTATAAGCTTTTAAGGAAGAAATTCTACTTTTTTAATGAAAAAATAAGGTTTTTAAGTATAAAGAATGACAGCATTCATTGTTTGGGAAGTGAAGTATATTTGGGGTATTGTTTTAAATACTGTATACAATGTATTCTAAACATTTTAAATATGATATGGTTAAATCTTAAACTTGTATATAATTATATGTTTCACATTAAGAATTTGAGCATTAGAAAAAAGCGAAACATGAGAGAAAATATTTTAATTCATTTATTAAAATTCTAGAGACAACTTAGGCAGCTTACAAACAAAATACCATGTGATGTTAAAATTCTTGTTTTTAATGAAAACTAAATCTAAGTGTAATAAAATAACCTGGAACAAGCAGGTATCTGGAGTTATAGATATAATGTCAGAAAAAGTAAAGCTCAGATTGAACAGAGGTTGGCAAAGAATAACAAGAAAGTGCAGATTATGTTTAAAAATTTAAGAAAGAAACAAGAATTCATGTAGCAACTGCTCAGAGAAGATGAGAAAATAGGTAAAAAAAAAAAGAAAGATCTTATACAGTTGCTGGTTGCAAATTTGTGGGAGATCAGGCAACCAATATCCTCTCTCTCTCTTTTCTTGTGCTGCACTAACTGCAACTACAATTATTCAGTTACGTCTGCCACTTAAAGCCAATGATAACTTCTGTGGGCACCACTGTAGAGAGCTAGACAATTTTTATTTTTCCTCAGTCTTCTCCATGAAAAGAGAATCCTTTACCAGGCAATCTTGAAGATTAGGTTTGAAGTTTGAGATTGAAAGAAATATACTCATGGAATAGATAGATAGACATATATACATACGTGTGTGTGTGTGTGTTTGTGTGTGTGTGTATTTGAATGAGCTTTGTTTGTTTTACTCTGAAAGAGTATAAATCTTCAGGTGGATCCTGAAGGATGGTTTTTGAGAAATATATAATCTTTTAAAAATTATGCAAAACTGGTGATTACAGATTAACAGAGTTGGAAAGGACCTTGTAGGTCACATAGTCCAATCCTCCACCCAAGCAGGAAACCCTACACCATTTCTGACAAATGGCAGTCCAATCTCTTCTTGAAAGTCTCAAGTGATGAAGTTCCCTCAATTTCCAAGGGCAAGCTATTCCATTGGTTGATTGTTCTCACTTTCAGAAAATTTCTCCTTATTTCCAGGTTAAATCTCTCCTTGTTCAGTTTCCATCCATTATTCCTTGTCTGGCCTACAGGGGCTTTAGAAAATAGCTCTTAGCTATTCAGCCGAATTCCAGAAAGAAAAGGAAACAAAGCTCTCATAGCAACTATAAAATGAGTCTTTGTTCGTCCATATACTGCTCCGGATTCGGGTAACAACCAGCATCTAGATGATAGTAAAGTCAGCTCTGGCGCACCTCGCAGCCAGAGCTGTATTTATACACCAGATAATAATGTAATGAATTTATCCACTGTCTGGTGAACAGTACTGCTTAATTTCTGGTCACTATGTAACCCCCAGATACTGTGCATTCGTCCGTTAATTATCCACCCTCCTTTACCATACCCTCGCCACGTTATACTCTCCATAGCCCATCAATCCCCCTGTGCCCGCCCAGTGAATATCCATCCACTGATGTCATTATTTTAATGGTCAGCATGTTCATTGTTCTCCTATAGTCGCCCACGACTTGTAATAGTTCAGTGTCTGACATCATCAGGGCTCGTTGTCAATCTCCATTGGCAATTCCGAACCCCGTGTCGGTTGGCTAGCAGGTACTTCCTAACACGATAGAATATTCAGACGCAGTGGAACGCTCGGTGTCACGGCTCCAGCATGCCGTGGGGACATGACAATAGCAGGACCCCTTCCTCTCTGTGGCAGCCCCTCAAATATTGGAACACTGCTATTATGTCTCCCCTGGTCCTTCTCTTCTCTAGACTAGCCAGACCCAGTTCCTGTAACCGTTTTTCATATGTTTTAGTCTCCAGTCCCCTAATCATCCTGGTTGCCCTTCTCTGCACTTTTTCAAGAGCCTCAACATCTTTTTTTATTGTGTGGTGACCAAAACTGGATGCAGTATTCTAGGTGTGGTCTTACCAAGGCTTTATAAAGTGGTATTAGTACCTCACTTGATCTTGATTGTATCCCTCTGTTAATGCAATTTAGGATTGCATTGGCTTTTTGGCTGCTGCTGCACACTGCTGGTTCATATTTAACAGGTTGTCCACTGAGCCTCCAAGATCCCTCTTACTGTTACTGCTATTAAGTCTGATTTCATCCAATCTATATGTGTATTTTGGTTTTTCTTGTCTAAGTGTAAGACTTTACTGTTCTCTACATTGAATTTCCTTTTGTTGGATAGGGCCCAGTATTCAAGTCTGTCAAGATCCATCTGGATCTTGAGCCTATCTTCTAGGGTGTTAGTTATTCCTGCCAGCTTAGTATCATCTGCAAATTTGGTAAGTTCTCCTTCTATTCCCTCATCAAAGTCATTTATGAAGATATTGAAGAATACTGGGCCTAAGATGGAACCTTGTGGCACCCTACTACTTACATCCCTCCATGTAGATTTAGACCCATTAAGGACTACTTGTTGAGTATGGTTTGTCAGCCATTTGCGAATCCATCTGAAGGTGATGCTATCTATCTCACTTTTTTGTAGCTTACCAAGAAGTAGGTTGTGGTCTACTTTGTCAAATGCCTTGCTGAAGTCTAAGTATATTATGCCCACAGTATTTCGCTGGTCTACTAATTTAGTCACTATGTTGAAGAATGCTTTCTCTCTGTTGCCTGTTACTTCCTTGCCCTCTTCTCTCTTTAGTGGACTGACCGTTTTCTTGATTTTTTTCTTGTTACTTATATATTGGAAGAAACTTTTTAAAATTATCTTTGACTTTTGTTGTAAGTCTTTGTTCGTTCTGAGCCTTTGCTTTTCTGACTTCGTCTTTGCAGATTCTGGCTGTCTGCTGATATTCTGCCTTAGTTTTGTGTCCCTCTTTCCATTTTTTGTACTTGTCCTTTTTGTCTTTCAATTTGTCAGAGAGATCTTTGTCCAGTCATGCTGGTTCCATATTGGATTTCTTGTTTTTCTTTTTCAGTGGTATTGTGCTGATCTGGGCTTTTATGATTGTACTTTTCAGAGTTTCCCAAGCTTCTTGAGTCATTTTCATCTTTAGGATTTTAATCCAAGCAATCTTTCCCAAGTTCTCTCTGAGTTTATTAAAATCAGCTCTTTTAAAATCTAAGACTCTGGTGTCATTATGTTCTATTGCTTGTGTTTGTGTTATGTTGAATTCTAGTATGACATGCTCACTCTCACCCAAGGTTCCTGCAGGTTCAACTCCCTCTATCACTTCTTCTCTGTTTGTAAGAATTAAGTCTAGTATGGGTATCCCTCTAGTTCCCTCCTCTATCTTTTGGATAACAAAGTTGTCAACTAGCTTGCTTAGGAATCTACTTGATTTCTCACTTGGTGCAGAATTAGTTTTCCAATTAATTGTAGTGTGTTTCCTGCATGTTGTATAGTAATCCAAATGCCTTTATTGATCATTTCATGTTATCTCCTGAAGCACATATGTTATTACATTAAGAGCAACAGTTTTCTGTTTACTGTTCTGACAAAATTGTGATAATTTTCCCCTTTTGCTATTTTTGTTACAGGGAAGTTACATGTATATTTCTATGTGTAACAGTGCGTGAAAAGAAAATATTAATTTTATAAAAGGGCTACTTTTATAATGTATGTCTGTGCATATATCTGCCAAAAACAGATTCCAATAAACAGTAGGACCAAGAAAAAAAAGGAACTGGTATTAGTTTTTGTTCTCTGAATAAAAAATGATAATAGTTAAAAAACTGGAGTGAAAGAGCTCAGAAACTAACATTACTTAGGTTCTGTTTCCGATTCTTTGCTGAGTTAACTTCTGCTCTCAAAAAGGCTTTTTCTAGCATGACATATCATAATATGGGAACAAAGCTAGAAATAAGATCAACACAGAAGATCTTTAGATGTAAAAAGCCCAACCCCATCTTCACTTTCTCAAATTAGCAACCTTTGGAGCAAACTATTGTATTTACCAGAAAGAAACATGACCCTGAATTCCAAACTACACCCAAATCAATATGCTCCTTTTTGTTCAGTTTTAATCTTCACTTTCTCTCTTTACTCCTTACAGCTTGGCTTTGCATCCAAGAAAAGATATTGTTGTCACTGGAAGTGATGATCGCTTATGGAAAATGTGGGCCTTTCCTAATGGGAACATTATCCTGAAGGGTGAAGGTCACACAGATTGGCTTTCTGGATGCTGCTTTCATCCAAGGTAAGTAAAAATAGTGCTGGAAACCAGCATTGATTCTTTTGGGTCTTAACCTGTTAAAAGTGATTACTTTCAGTACATTGTAAATTTTAGTCCACATGCTTCTATATCAGATTTCCAGGTCTCATCTAATTTAATCTTTTAGTTTTTAGATACATGTGGATGTCCATTTTATTTTAATGTCAATTTTATTTTTGTCATTGGTATTTTCTCTAGATTCTTAAATAAGCACAGACACCAGAACAAATTTACACAATTTAGATTTCAGTCCATAAATAAAATATTCTCTGTACTGCAGCAAATCTCTCTGATCCTAGCTTGCTGTCCAAATTCACTAAACGTCTGTCTGGTTGCTATCAGCTGGAACTTTCCTATTATCTAGCCTTCAAGGAGGAAAACATAAATGCACTGTGATAAATATAAAATTAAGACTGTTTCCCCCTTTTATAAAGACCTCCTGAGAGGGGAAAATCTACTTTCCTGGTTGTCCTCTTAGCATTTTATTTTCCTGGGCTTCAGATTTTCTATTCCTCATTATAGGCCAGCTACTTTCCATTAATGTTTTCAATGCCTGAATTGCCTGAAATGGAAATTTCTCTACTTTTTCCTTTAACTTAAAAAAAGTATAGTTCTCCAACTTAGCATGTTGTTGGCATCATGTTGTGGAAGTCATTTGTGTACTTCTAGAAAGTTTTTCAACTTTCCACAGGGCTATGGTCCTAAAACTCTCTAGTAGGCTTTAATGCAATTGTGGACTTAGTGTGGATACCAGTGTGGATACCAACCAGGTTGCATACGAAAATAATAGAATTGAAGTACCAAAGTATATGTATTATAGGAGACTTTAATGCAGTTGTAGACTCAAAACTGGATTATAAAACTAGAAAAACAAATAAGAATGCTAGGAAAATACTTCCAAAAGCCCTCTTTAAAATGGTGGAAGAACTAAATATTCAAGATGTTTGGAGAGAGACTTATCCCAAGAAAGAATAATATTCATTTTATTCAAATAGAAGTTCATGGAGATAACAGATTAAGTGATGACGATCCCACAACTTCCAAGGGCAAGCTTTTCCATTGGTTGATTGTCAAGTTTCTCCTTATTTCCAGGTTAAATCTCTCCTTGTTCAGTTTCCATCCGTTATTCCTTGTCTGGCCTACAGGTGCCTTGGAAAATAGCTTGACCTATTCCTCTCTGTGGCTGCCCCTCAAATATTGAAACACTGCTATCATGTCTCCCCTAGTCCTTCTCTTCACTAAACTAGCCATGCCCAGTTCCTGTAACCGTTCTTCATATGTTTTAGTCTCCAGTCCCCAAATCATCCTGGTTGCTCTTCTCTGTACTTTTTCTAGAGTCTCAACATCTTTTTTATAATGTGGTGACCAAAACTGGATGCAGTACTCTAGGTGTGGTCTTACTAAGGCTTTATAGAGTAGTATTAGGACCTCACTTGATCTCAATTGTGGCAGGATTGAAAATAAACAGAGAAAAAAACCAAAATTTTAGTAAAGAATATCACAGATAAGCAGAAAAAAGAGTTAATGAAGAGATTAGATATTCAGATTACCAAGAAGGTAAAATACATAGGGATCCAATTGACAGCTAAATGTGTAACAATTAAAGAAGATAATTATTATAAATTGATACAAAAAATTAAGGTGGATTTGGAAAAATGGAAAGGTCTGCAACTATCGCTAATGGGAAGGATAGCTACAATTAAAATGAATATATTACAGAGATTATTGTATTTGTTGCAAACAGTCCCAATAAAGCTGGAAAATATATTTTGAGGATCTTAACAAAATAATATTAAAATATATATGGCAAAGGAAAAAAGCAGGAATTAATTTAAAAATATTACAGGATACAAGAACAAGTGGAGGTTTTAGACTGCCAAACTGGGAATTATACTACCAGGCCACGGTGTTAACATGGATGAAAGAATTGATTGCACTGAGGAATACAAGATTATTGACTCTGAAGGGACATGATTTGCAATTGGGTTGGCATGCCTTCCCATGGTATGGAAAAAACAAGATACATGGTTAGTTTCAAAGACGTATAAGAAATGCTTTATTGTTAGTATGGGAGAAAATCAGAGAACAGCACTATTTGAAAATACCAGTTTGGCTTTTGACAATGGAAGAGCACTTATTATTCCAAACATTTTCAATATGGGAAATATCATTAGATATAAAGATATTTTGAATGAAAAGGGTGAGCTTAAAACTAAATAAGAATTGGGTGAGCAAGGGATCGATGTGGTTTGGTATTCACACATGCAAATACAATCTAGATATGAAAAAGATGCTAAATTATATGGTTTCTATAGAGAACTGACAGAATTGAATAAGATACTAACAGGACAGAAGAAGATTGATAAAAATATATTTGTTTGTATATTTATTTGTTGGGTATTAAATTAAAAGAGGAACAAGTGAAGGAGAAAATGAAAGCATGGGCAAAAAACTTTGGCTATACAATAGAACTAGATAAATGGCAGAAATTATGGGATAGAAATTATAAGTTAACAATGTCAACTGCATATAAAGAAAACTTGTATAAAGTGTTTTATAGATGGCATTTAGCCCGGCGAGGTTGGCAAGGATGTTTAAAGATAAATCAGCCAAATGTTGGAAATGCCACCAGACACCTGGGTCATATTATCATATGTCGTGGACATGTGTAGGATATTGGACAAAAATACGAAGAAAGATTACAAGAATTGGGTATGTCTAGTATAATGTAAAGAAGGTCTAGATAGCACTGTTCCAATATTGAAAGGCTTCTAAAAATAGCAACCGTTCATTGTATATTTTAGCCTCCACTCATCTAATCATTTTTGTCGCTCTTCTCTGCAATCTTTCCAAAGCTTCAACATCTTTTTTTATATTGTAGTGACCAGAATTCGATGTAGTATTGCAAGGTTGATCTTATTAAGGCTTTGTAAAGGGGTACTAGAAGTTCATATCATTTTGGTTCTATTCCTTTATGCCAGTAACTGTCAATAACTGCGAGAGGGAACTTGGAGTGCTAGTGGACAATCACTTAAATATGAGTCAACAATGTGAGGCAGCAGCCAAAAAATCTAATGCAATACTGGGCTGCATCAATAGAGAGATAGAATCAGCAACAAAAATGATGAAGTATAAAGAACGGTTGCAGAATTTGGGTATGTCTAGTAATGAAAAGAAGGACTAGGGACAACATGATAGTACTGTTCCAATATTTAAGCGGGTCAAACTATTTTCCAAAGCACCAAAAGGCAACACAAGAAACAATGGTTGGAAATTAATCAAGGAGAGAAGCAACCTAGAACTAAGGAGAAATTTCCTAATGGTGAGAGCAATTAACCAATGGAATAACTTGCCTTCAGAAGTTGTGGGTGCTCCATCACTGAAGGCTTTCAAAAAGAGACTGGAAAACCATTTGTCTGAAATGATATAGGATCTCCTGCTCAAGCAGGGGGTTGGGCTAGAAGACCACTAAGATCCCTTCCAACTCTATTATTCTATGTTCTATCTTCTATAAATGGTTAAAACAACAACCAAAACTTCACATGATCTTGATACTATTTCTCTCTTGATGCAACCAAGGATGGTATTGACATTTTTGGCAGCTGCAGCATACTGCTGGTTCTCATACTTAAAAATTATTGTTAACATTTGTTGCAGCTCTTAGTTCATTTTGAGCCTTAGCTTTCCTGATTTCATCATTGCAGATTCAGGCTATGTACTGGGATTCTGCTTTAGTTATGTGTCCCTCTTTCCATTTTTATACTAATCCTTTTTTTTTCTTTTAATTTATCGGAGAAATCTTTATGCAACCATGGTGGGTTCTTCTTGGATCTCTTGTCTTTCTCTTTTAATATAATCATCCATCCAAATCAATCCCCTACAAGATAAAGGACTCTTTATTGAAGATCGTGGACTGTACTCTACCATTCTGTCCAATAGGATGAAAGGATGAACTACATACCTAGATTAGGTCTGAGAAAGAATAATTGGCCCAATCTCATCCAGCTGTCATTTTTGCCTATGAGAAGACCAAAACCTGATCTCTCTCTACTTCCTGTCCGGTACTTTTAACCATTGTATCACATTGGATTTCATATCTATCGATAACACTACATATCTATTTATGATATTTGTCCATTTCCGTCATTTTTAAGAACACGCACATAATTCTTATAATGCCTTGAGAGTAACACTTTAAGAATAATAGTTAATAAATGGAATAAAGGGAAAATAGTTACCTAAGAGATAGAGCTGTAGAGTATGGTGATACAGGAGTAGTTTGAAGTAGTTGCAGGAACAAGTGAGTTCTTGTATATCGTTTGAGGCAGAGCATGTTGACCCACTTGGTGACTGGTATTAACTTGTTTATCAAAATAGCCTCTGTTATGTGGGAATTGCACTGATTGCCAGTAAGCCTTGAGGACCAATTTAAAAGGTCAGAATTATTTTCTCAATGCTTACTTACATGATATCATAGGAAGATCATAAAAGAAAGCAGGGCGATTGAGACCTAAATATCTGAACAATTTCTCTTCCATCCTGACCAACATTTAGGTATGCCCCTATGTGGCAATGTTTCAGATGATGATTAAAACAGTCCTCTTTCAGAGAGCATATTGATTGATTGATTGATTGATTGAATTGTCATTAGAATGCTTAATTACATTTAAGTCAACAATGGACTTATTTGTTGTTTTTAATGTTTACTTATTATTTGTTCTATGAATGGATTTTATTATTTTTATTATTTATTTATTATTTTATTGGCATTTTATATATATTGTAAACTACCTGGAGTCAGGTGGCATGTAAAGAGAATAAATGCATTCTTTTTAAATCAGACATTTGATTAAACTTCTTTTTAAATCAGATTTTTATTAAACTCCTATATGAATTATCTTATGTAACAATAGTAATTCATGCAGATTTTCATTTTTTCTTTATTTTTCCAATTTGTTAAACAAATAATTTTCAGAAAAGTGCTGATGTTTTAAGAATGTAATACTATAATGGAAATAATTTTTAAACATTAAAAGTTATGCGTATATGTGCTTGGTTTAAACTATTACACATTTTCAGTAGAAAAAAAACTCTCCTTCTTGAAAGCCTATCTTTTAAAAATGGAAACAGTCTTCTATTTATTACTGGGATATGTAAGCTGAATTCCTCTTCCATCCTCTTCCGTTTGCCCCTTACTCTGCTTTGTCTTTAATGTAGTACTTAAACAAGATTAGGCAACCTTTCCCACAGCTTCCAATCAACAGTATACTCCATTACAGAAATATAATACTTTATATTTCTACTTTATAGTAGAAATATAAAGTATTACATTTCTTCGAGCATTTGAAAATAATAGTAGTAATAGTAGTAGTAGTAGTAGTAGTAGTAGTAGTAGTAGTAGTATGAAAAATGGAGATTTTCATCATATTGACTTGGGAAATTTAATTAAGCAGCTGTGTAAGAACTTTCTTAAAGTTCTAAATCAGATTTATGTTTTTTAATTACAGTGGATCCAAACTTGTTACTTCAAGTGGAGACAAAACAGTTCGTTTATGGGACTTCACGAAGGGTGGGTGCATTCTGAAACTAGAAGGTCATAGCTATGCAGTGTTGGATTGTTCTTGGCATTCATGTGGTGATTTTGTTGCATCTGCCTCTATGGATGAAACAAGTAAAGTCTGGGACCTGAACAGGTACGTGGCTGTTTATAATCTGTTTATTTTTTTATATGTGTAAATTTAAATGGGGAGAAAAGGTATTTTTAGACAAAATAAACAATAATGTAGAGAACAGCTTTACTGTAATGGTTAAGGCATTAGGTTAGAAATCAGAAAAACATGACTTCTAGTCAGTGGTGGGATTCAAATTTTTTTACTACTGGTTCTGTGGCTTGGTGGGCGTGGCAGGGGAAGGATACTGTAAAATCTCCAGTCAGAGGTAGTATTTGCCGGTTTTCCGAACTACTCATAATTTCTGCTACCGATTCTCCAGAACTGGTCAGAACCTGCTGAATACCACCTCTGCTTCTAGTCCTGCCTTAGGCATAAATTCAGCTGGCTGATCTTAGGCCAATCATTTATAGGCAGTGGCAAATCACTTCTGAAGTAAATGCAGAACAGAGCAAGAATGGATCAGAATTCAGACTCTTTATCCAATACCCCTGTCTGGCCTTGATTCCCCAATTACATAGCAGGCAGAGATTAGTTTGAGAGAAGTCAGAACTACTTGATTGTGAAAGGAATTAGAACTCAAGAGTGTAGGTTGCTGTACATCACCCATCCACAATTTATTGTATCATATTGCTTTATAAAAACCATTACTTTGCAAAGGGCATTTTGATTGTCATGAAAGATTACTGCCCATTTAATGAACTCAGTATTCTATGCAGAACAATACTGTGTAAGGTACCTTAATTCCTCCTGATTTTCTCTAGTGTAAATTGCTTTTGATATATTTGAGAAATAGAGCCTTTTGTAAGTATCTCATGTCCTTTTACACCTTGTGTTTCACTTTAGTAATATACTTTAAAATACCATAATTTTCCATGTTTTTTGTTGTTTTAGTTTGAACTACCATATGTAAATAATGGCACTCATTTGGTTGTGCAGATATGAAACTTTAGGTTGGCTTATAATGATGGTTTACAGCCCTAGATGGTGAAGCTAAGAATAATTGTAGTGATCTATCCTGCTTCTTTATTTGCCCCGAAATAACTTATATGACTGACTCTTAAAAACATGTTTCATTTTTTAAGCAGATTGATCCCTTGCATACTTTTCCTATGATCAGAAGGAAGGCTTCTTAATTTTCATAGAATGTAATTGGTTTGATCTCTGACTGTAAATTAATGATGAATAATAGTATTAATAACACATGGTTAATAATAAGTAATTAAGTAAGTTGTGTACTTTGACCTGGAATACAGGACAAAGAATTTAAGATTGTTTTGTTTATTCATACTTTTGATGAAATATTCCAAGAGGTGATATAAGATGGGACTTTGTTTAACTAATTTTATGTAACTGAATGCATTTATCTAAAAGAAAGAATGTGGTTTCCCCCCTAAAATGTTATTTTTTAAAAAAAAATCTGTTGAGACTATAGTAATAGAGGCAAATATTGTAATTTCAGTCTAATCTTTTTTTGAGAGACATTGTTTTATATTCCAGGATATTTACTTTTTAAAAGCTTTATTGCTTCAATAATGTTTTTGAACATTAGTGGAATTAGAGAAACGTATCTAAATCCCACCCTCATGGGTACAGTGCGTTCAGGTATAATGTGACCCTATGTTTTGCAATTAGAAGTTTGGGAGTCTACAGTATGTACCATGAATAGGGGCTCTTATCCTTCTCCTCTGCAACGTTTCCTGGTTCCTAGTTCCTAGGATTGTCACTTGCAAAGTATCTTGCCCATATCCAGACAACTACCTGTTTTAGATACCCCCTTTGAATGCACACCTCCTGTACTTTATTGTAAAGTAACTTACCCTTCCCATATTAGAATCCAAAAGTGGGCTTCCTTTCTTTCTTTTTTTAATACTAAGGCTATGTCCATTTCCAAAGAGGCACTTTGTTTAGTTGGATATTCAAACAAATTTCCTGTTCAGAACTTTGCCACAAAACATGACAATGTCCCATTTCAACAAGATGAATAGCTTGCCATTTGGCTTCACTCATTTATCAATAGCAGGATAGCCACAGTTAGCAAGATTGATTTTATCAAAAAGCAATGTGCCCCCACAAGGTATTTCCCTGTTGAAAGTCTGCCACATTTAAGCAGATTACCTATGAACTATGAACTATAGTCAAACATATGTGTTGTGACTCGGAGGTCTGAGCCTGCCTTGTTAGAAGATACAGACTTAAGCAATGAGGAAGAGAGGGATTTGGCCTCGAGGTTTGAGCCTGCTTTGCTGGAGGACACAGACTTGAGCCAGGAGGAAGAGGAGGATTTGCCTCTGAGGTTTGAGCCTGCTTTGCTGGAGGATTCGGAATCATCTTCCTCCCCAGGACCTTCCTCCCTAGTTGTGCCTCAGGTGTCGGCAGATAATCAGGAGAGCGTAGCGGAGCCTCTGGCTGAGGATCAAACTGAGGAATGTTGGTTTGATGCAAGGCAAAGACGTAGACATAGACGTGAAATGCAACGTAAAAGGAAATGTCAAATCGGGGACTGAGATGAGAAACTGACACGCCCCTCGGGAAGAAAAAGGGGGCGTGTTAGCTCTGAATCCTCATTCGGGACAACTTGTTTATTTGGGATAGAAGCTTTGACAAATTCTCTGTGCGGTGTTTGCCTTTGATTTATGGTCTTGTTTTGTTATCGGACTTGGCAGGCAGCTTTTGGAAGACTGCCAAGGACTTCTCCAGCCAAAGGAATTTAACTCTGTCATTCCTCGTCCTGTCTGTTTATTTATATTCCTTTGGAAATTTGGACTCTCACCTCGTGGTCACCGGTGAGACAGAACACATATGTATAAGCCTTGCACATAGCCCACTTGCTCTACTACATCAGCTAGAACTGTCAATTGAAACTGTAGCTACAGGTATTCCTGAATATTTTTTTTATCTCAGCAGATGTATGGATGTGACACACTTCTACATGTGGATGTATACATGCAGAGACTACACTCACCCACCAACACACAAAAGAAGCAGAACAAAAATTATAGAAACGTTAATTGAATTAAAGAGTACTGATTGAAATTACTTGCCTTGCTGGTAAAATAAGGCATATCATTTGTAAAACACATTGGTCCTCTATTTGAATGCAGAGGAGCTTCCATCATGACAACAGTGTGACACGACTCTTATCATTTTGATGAAATCAGTAGCTCCTGTGTATCCCCTGGTTCATATGATTGGGAGCAGTGGTGGGATTCAAAATCTTTTACTACCGGTTCTGATGGGCATGGCTTGGTGGGTGTGACCATGTGACTGGGTGGGCGTGGCTTTTTTTTGCAGCCCCCACCCATTTTGGGGAGCTTCTTAGCCACAGAGGAGCCTCGGAGGGGGGTGTTTTTGCTCCCCTAAGGCTCCTCTGGGTCTCAGGAAGAAAAGGAACAGAGCATGGGAGAGGCACACAGCACCCCTCCAAGCTCCACTTTGGGAGCTTCCTAGCCTCAGAGAAGCCTCTGGGGGGACGTTTTTGCTCCCCTAAGGCTCCTCTGGGGCTCTGGAAGGCAAAAAATGGAGGGGGGGGGCTGAGCTCCTCACTCCATTTTTTGCCTTCCTGGGCCTCAGCAAGGGAAATCCTGGCACAGCTGATCTTATCTACAGCTGATTATCGGGAGGGAAAAAAAGAAAGAAATACCTTAGGCGATGTCAGCCAGGCGGGCGGGGTGAGCGAGCATTGGGTGGGAGAGCGGCCAGCCAGAACGTACTACCGGTTCGGTGACCCATGCCAAATTCTTGCTACTGGTTCGCCCGATTCGGTGCGAACCGGCTGAATACCACCACTGAAACAGCCTTATTCTGGTGTTTTTGTGCTGTTCTAAATGCTCAGTTATTTTTTTCTTTCAATTCTTTTACTTCTTTAGTTAGAACTTTGTTCTTCATGAGGCAGAGGAGTGGGTTCCTGGTTTCCAAATGAAAACAATTGTATATCTCTGCTGGACTCCTCTACTACCAACTCCTCCTGATTTGCTTCTCTATTCTGAGTTACTTCTGACAAGTTTTTGATTTTTTTTTGCCCTGGATGAACCTTTGCAGTTGTTCTAATTCTGCATCTGTGAATACTTTATTTTGTATTATAAATTGATGTTGATCTGCTAACCTCTGTTCTTTTATTTCTGATTCTGATGTTGTTCTTTCCAGAACTGGTGCATTCATTTCAAATATCCTCTTCTTGCTTTGTATTAGCAGATCATTATTTCTTTGATTTCAATCTGCTAAAGACCTTTTCTTCCAGTAATTCTGTAGCTGCTGGCCCTGGTTGCTCAGTTGAGACATGTAGCCCATTTTTTTACCAGATATCCAGGAACTCCAACATCTAGTGTGGACCTTGGTTGACATCTGAGCCAATATGGCTTTCTGAAATTTATATCTCACCATATTTTTCATGGGAGTGACACTCTGAATCTGACTTCTCTGATGAGACCTGTCTAGTATGGTTGAACCTCTGGCATGGCTCTCATCTTCCTCAGAGCACACAAGCCCCACAACCACTTCAAGGTAGTGCCTCACTGGGAGATTATTATTGTTGTTGTTATTTGCAGTCAGCCATATGTTCAGACTGGGTTTGGCATTTTTGGCTGTTTATCGAGTCCTTTCAATATTTATTTTAACATTATATAACATTACACATTAAAGTATATCAAGAAAAAACAGGAAGTACCTGTTGTAATTAAGATAGATTGTTTATTAGAGCAAAAGATAGGTGTGCAGGAGAAGATCACCAGGCCTGAGCCTCAGCCAAGTTCCTAGGATGAGAGTAGGAGTTGAGTGTCCTGGGCAAAAGTTGCCTTCTTGGTGGCAGACTAGTGCCACCCAATTACTGCCATATTCTTTGGCCTGCAAACCTGCCAATTGTGCTTGCAGAAACCGAGGAGGGCCATGCTCTATCCCTTTAAAGAGTTTGCTGACCCCTAATAATAGAATCCAACCATAAACCTCAGTCCAATAATTAGGGCAGAAATTTTTATTTGTTCCAGAGATGGCAGTGGCAGAGTGTGGCATAGTGGATATAAAAGGAAACAAAGCCCTTCATTTCCATTTTTAAAGATTTCAGGATTGTTTTCAGAATAGGTTTCAGGTTTCAGGATTCTTAGCTATATATTGTATGATTTTAAAAATAAATTAAAAATACTTGGGGAGAATTGAATCCCTGCAATAATGTTCAGAAATGATTGGCTATCTTTCTGTATTGGAGGTGTAATATGTCAGTCCTATATTCTAGACTGCAGTAGTCACAGGACTGGCCCTTTGGTCATCCCAAAGTAGCTGCTTCTCCACCCTGGTGCACTGGCCTGCCATGGACTGGAGGAGCTGCTCTGGGATGACCAAAGGATCAATCTGGTGACTATTGCAGCTCTGGAATATGAGACTGACTTTACCACCAACGTCAGCAAGACACTCCGGGGCAGATTTCCCTACCCCACCATTGGTCTTACCTTCCAGTTCCAGCTTGCATGGCTCTACTCAAGGTAAGATTTACGCTCAGTCGAAGGGTGAGGCCAGTGGATGGTCGGGCCATGTGGGCGGTGCAGACTTGCATTCCTCTGCAGCCTGGATTAATTGCTTTGGGGGAGTGTTTGGGGGGGCATTTCTCTGCGGACCACCAACATTTTCTCGCAGACCACCAGTGGTCTCCAGCCCACTGGTTGGTGACCACTGATATGGACGGAACTTTAGTGCATTAAGCATTTCCTTATTAGTTAGATATCTTGGATTGCAATTGTGCATTCCTGGAAGGATGTAGCAAAATTAATTAAACTAAGCCTTTAAATGCTTGCTGTCTACTCAAGAAGAGAAAAAAATCAAATAATATGATTCCTAATTTAAAAGTGTAGAATGGCAGCAGAACTTTGAATATAGTACCTTCATTGTTTTTTCCTGTATTTCCTTTTTGTCTTTGTTTTAGTTTTTGTCTGCTTATTCACCTTTCTCTTGGTTTGTTTCCATGCCATGCTAATTTGCTTTGAATTTTCTTATTTTACATTTGTTCTTTTTAAGAACATAGTTTATATCAATTTATCATATATATTAGCTCAGTGGTAGGATCCATCTAATTTAACAACCGGTTCTAATGACTGGGTGGGCATGGCTGGGAGGAGGGCATGTGACTGAGTGGGCATGACCAATTTGATGTCACTCATGGCAAGGTGGGGCGGCGCAGGCAGACCAAAGTAGCAGTGGCTGGAGCATTGGACTTAGCTTTGTGCAGCAACAGCAACAGTGATTCTCTGACACCTCATCTCTTGCTGAGTCTCACTGCCTGACAGGGGTTTAAAAAATATTTTTGCAGCAGGAAACGGTGGGCGGCTACTTCCGGCCTTCGTTGGTGCAGCTGGGCACAACTCCACCCTGAGACACTGGCCTGCTTCCGCTACCTCTTTTCCAGCGCGAGGGGCCTCCAGCCACTGCTCTTTTCCAGCGCCTAAGTTCAGGCCAGCAAAGAGATAGTGGCTGGAGGCTCCACACACTAGCTAAGAAGCAGCAGCTGCTGCCTTGGTTCAGGCCAGCAAAGAAATGGAGGCTGGCAGCTGCTTACACCAGCAAAGTCTCACTGCTGGAGGCTGCTTGTACTGGCAAAGAGATGGTGGCTGGAGACCCCTTGTGCTGGCAAAGAGGTGGCGGCTAGAGACACTTTCCAATGGCAAAGAGGCAATGGTTGCCACCTTGGTTCAGGCCAGCAAAGAGGCAGTGGCTTCTGCCTCGGTTCAGGCTGGCAAAGAGGCCGGGCAAAGGCAGGCAAGTGGGCTGGGCCGCAGGGACCATATGGCCAAGGCAAGTGAACTAGCGAGCAAGGGTGCCAGAGAGCAGCAGCTGCTATGATGCCAAGGCAGGCGAGGCAAGTTAAGGGGTGACTGGGAGGGTCGGGGGGGGGGCAGCCAATGGTGCAATTAGCCGATTCTCTGAACTGTGCAAAATCTTAACCAGTTTGCCTGAACCAGTCCGAACCAGCTGAATCCCACTTCTGTATTAGCTGCTACATTATTAATATGTAATGTCTTTCAAGAACTTTTAACCATGATGTTTCTAACATTTAATAAATAATTGAATATAAATATTGGGGAGAAATTTATTGTCCATTTGAGCTTTGTTGATGCCAACTCACATTGTCCTTTGATTTTGTTAATTCATTTCACAATTGCTCAAGATATTTAAATGCATTACTTTACAGTGAACGATGCAGGTATACCTTGCGTGGCCACAAGGATTCAGTAAACAGCATCGAGTTCTTTCCTTTCTCCAATATTATTCTCACCAGCTCTGCAGACAAGACTTTATCTCTGTGGGATGCCAGAACGGTAAGTAGGCTTTGGGATGTATTACTAATTCATGTAAACTGGACAAGTTCAATGGTTGCTTAATGGGCAAAAATTAAATCTGTTTCTATAACAAATCAGGTTCTGGACAGAAATTGTGTGATTACAGAGATGTATTTGGGTTCTACTGAGTGTTACATGGATCATAATTTTATAGGATATATTATTTCCAAACATTTAGTTTGAATTGTTGTAATTTATGGTAAGCTAGTCCAGGGGTCTCCAACCTTGGCAACTTTAAGCCTGGAGGACTTCAACTCCCATGAAGTCCTTCAGGCTTAAAGTTGCCAAGGTTGGAGACCCCTGGGCTAGATCATATATTTTTGTGATGTCTTGAAATGCTCATTTCTGTTAGTCTTTAACATCTTTGCAAGGTAAATAGTGAATGGTGACATCCAATTTGAAAAAAGCTAATTATCTAAATCTAAAATGGCCTAACATCAATACCCAGGAAGATACTGGAAAAGATAACAATAAAAAAAACAGATCGCCAACATCTAGAAACGAGTAAAGTCATAACTAGAAGTCAGCGTGGGTTTGTTAAAAACAGATCATGTCAAACCAAACTTATTTCATTCTTCAACATAATGACTAAATTAGTAGACCAGCAAAATACTGTGGGCATAATATTACTTAGACAGCAGGCATTCAACAAAGTATACCACAACCTACTTCTTGGTAAGCTAGCTAAAAGTGAGATAGCTAGCATCTCCACCAGATGGATTCGTAACTGGCTGACAAACCATACTCAACGAGTAGTCCTTAATGGAGGAAAGTAAGCAGTGGGATACCACAAGGTTCTGTCTTAGGCCCAGTATTCTTCAATATCTTCATAAACGACTTAGATGAGGGAAGAGATGGAGAACTTAACAAATTTGCAAATGATACTAACCTGGTAGGAATACCCAACACCCTAGATGATAGGCTCAAGATCCAGATGGATCTTGACAGATATGAACACTGAGCCCTATCTAACAAAATTAAATTCAATGTAGAGAAAAGTAAAGTCTTAACACGTAGGCAAGAAAAGCTACAAGTACACATATAGACTTGGTGAAACCAGACTTAATAGTAGTAACTTTGAGAGGTATCTTGGAGTCTTAGTAGACAACCAGCTAAATATGAGCTAGCAGTGTGCAGTGGCAGCCAAAAAAGCCAATGCAATTGGCTAAGCTGCATTAACAGAGGGATACAATCAAGATCAAGTGAGATACTAATACCATTCTATAAAACTTTGATAAGAGCATGCTTGGAATACTGCATCCAGTTTTGGTCACCACACTATAAAAAAGATGTTAATACTCTAGAAAAAGTACAGAGAAGATCAAACAGGATGATTAGGGGACTAAAGACTAAAACATATGAAAAACGGTTTCAGGAAGTGGGCATAGCTAGTCTAGTGAAGAAAAGGACCAGGGAGGCATAATAGCAGTGTTCCGTTATCTGAGGAGCTGCCACAGAGAGAGGAGGAGGTCAAGCTATTTTCAAGGCACCTGAAGGCCAAACAAGGAATAATGGATGGAAACTAATTACGGAGAGAGTCAACTTAGAAATAAGGAGAAATTTTCTGAAAGTGAGAACAATCAACCAATGGAACAAATTGCCTTTGGAAGTTGTGGAAGTTTCATCACTGAAGGCTTTCAAGCAGAGATTGGACTGCCATTTGTTAGAAATGGTGTAGGATCTCCTGCTTGGGTGGTGCGGGGGTTGGATAAGATGACGTACAAGGTTCCTTCCAACTCTGTTAATGTGTAAATGTGTTTCAGTTTGGCTTGAGTATTAAAGACATCTTGGTTGCGCTGATGGTTGAACTTTACTATGAGACAAGGTGAGTTCTACATTGTGATTCTGCTGGAACTTTCCAAGAACTTTGACATTATTGGTCATGATGTAATATTACTGCAACAATTTGATGATTCAGGTGTGTTTTTGTTGTTCCATTACAACCTGTAGGATCACCACCAGAGAGTGATTTTGAGAGCTTTCTGTTCAATCGCATGGCACAGTCTAAAAGGGCTCAGATCTTTCTCCCTTATTTTTCAATATCTGAATTGAGCTCTTGGAGCAGTTGTCAAGAAATTTGGAATTGAATGAGAGTATTTCCTTTTTTCCATCTTTATCAAGAGGGGCTGGGCAGGTAGTTGGCAGTTCTTTGAAGGAAATTATGAAAGGCAATAGAGTGAAACTGAATAAAATTATGATTCCATGCACAGCTGGTTATTTAAGTTAGCAGAGGTCTCCCTTTGATTTCAGTCTATTATTAAAAGAACAGTTTGGAAGAAACATCTGTGGGTAAGTTCCAGCTGGTGCATCAGCTATTATTCTACTGGAACTGGAATAACCACGCCTAAGTGAATTCTAATAACGCTCATGTCTGGATGATTGTCATATTGTCAACAGAATAGGGGAAAGTCTTGAAAGAAAGGAGGAAGAGTCACTAGCAAGCAATAGTAAATAAAGAGGGACTTGAGTCCAATCCAGAAAATTGGTTTGAGTAAATATCTCATAGAAGCCTCTTCCTAATTCACATGAAGATAAAGTGAGGGGGAAACATATTCAAACACATTCAAACTTGCAAAATTCTGTTAGTATAACCATTACAATAAAAGCAATCCTGACCTTGATTTCTTAATCTCATTTACCTTGTTGGGCTGACATATGTGCTACTACAGTACATTCTTTGTGAATTACACCTGAAGATAATGTGGAAAGTGCAAAATCTAATTGTTAAGTGGTCACAAGGCCTTTGTTGTCCATGAGCTACGTGGCCCTATCTACAGTAATAGTATTAGTCTATAAAGCTATAGACAACATATATCCTGATTTTAGCATATACTTTAACAAAGTATCAGCTAACTTTCTGGTTAGCAAGTGACTTGACAATCACATTCAAAGAGAGTTCATTATTTCTAAAGTACCTGAAAAAGATGACTAGTAAACTTCCTCCAGCCAAGACCTGCTTCGTATCATTCTATAGTTATGCACACAATACTATATTTTTATGCATATAATACTGTATTTAAATTACAAGAAAAGTTAGATGTCTACAGAAATTCTCAGTCATCCAGGTCATGATTTTCCCAAAGGTGCTTTTGCAAGACGCAACTGGACTTTCTTTCTTTTTTCTTTGAAGACATTTTGCTTCTCATCCAAGAGGCTTCTTTAGACATACAAAAACACAACTGTGCCATAGGTTTACCTATGTTCCCCAGATGGTGTCAGGACAGCCTATTTGTAGGTGTGGGGAAGTTTGACTGAACAGGTTCTTTGCTTAATTACTGTTGCTGAGGTTCTTGGTTTGGTACTCGGTTTTGCTATTATCAGTTGATAGCTTAGCAGAGGTACAGTTTCACAATCTATAGTTATAATGTATTTCCCATAGATTTCAGTCTCAGTAAATCATGGATTTGTATCAATGGATAAGGGATAGCTGAGATAGAGAAATAGTTGTTTGGAATAAAGAATCTCCTATTATAATTATGAAAATAAAATATGTTCCACACTTGTTACATTCCAGAGTTTCGAAACAAATAGAACATAGTTAATAACTTTCTTAATATTGCCTGTCTGCTTAATTATGTTTATATGATAATATGTAGTTTTAGTACAAAACACTTGTCTATAAAAATTTAGCAAACCATACCAGAAGAGACTTATTCTTTCTCAGAATAAGTTGACTATTCAAAGCTCAGAGTTGACATATCTATGATGCTCTGAATAACTGGGTTCTAACTGAAATTTTTTATTTATTCACTCCTTAAGGCTCAATATAAAATCAAAAATAAAAATGGAGCAATTGTAAGTAATTTCCACTTTTGAAACAAAAATATGTATTAATACTTCTGCATTTGCAAAGAAACATAAATGACAATAATAAAGCATTACACTTGGAGGACAGTAAAGAACTTTGAAGTGGTATATAAGTCTAAGTGCTATTGCTATTACTAAATAGATTATTAGTTGTTCAAAATATAGAGTTTTCTCTACATACTTTATGAAACCAAGCACAGAAATCCCTGCTGATGAATCCTAACCTTATACAATATATCTGACTTTATAGATCCACTAAACTAAACTCTCATTTTCTAAATTGTTCCTGCTCTAAGTTCTCCATCACATTGCATTGTATGCAGCATTAATAGTTCCTCACTTTTAAGAACATAAGCATAGAAGGTAATATATTTAGTACAGAACAGTTTTAAAGAAAAATGGGGAAGAGCATACTATTTATTTGGCCAAAGCTGTTAAAATGGAAACCTATCTGCAGCCTTTATATTAGTGATGGATTTATGATCTGTGGTATACTGCCCTTATCTACCATCTATTCAGACTTCCAGCTGGGGCTTCTCTAGAGAAACCCCTGAGGCTATTTGAATTGTGCAGAAATGTTCTTCCTAGTTGAAAAGGGAATTTGTAATCAATTTTCTCTATACTAGGCAAAATGCTTTTTCCTGTCCACATTTACTCTTTAGTTTTCTTCTGCACAAAGTCTCTGGAAGCACCAGGGGGACAGAACACAATGATAATAGGGTTTATAAATCAATCTTTTTGTTGTTGTTAGAGCTGGGAGCTGAATGTCAATGATAGCCCGAAAAAGACTTTGTAGAAGATGAAAGCCTTACTTAAAAACTAGAAGGGAAAAAAATTCTCAAGATTTTTTTTCCAAAGTGCATTGATGTTTCAGTGCTGTTGGGCTTTCAGTCCTGAAGGACTCTTTCAGGGCTTACAAGTTATAACTGAGTTCTGTGCAGAAAGTTGGTCAATCGGGAAAGTAAGATCAATGTGACATTTTATAGGAACAAACTAATTGGAAACTATACTACTGCATGTAGAACAGTTTCCTTCTCATGTATAAGTGTGACATAAGACATTATGTCTGCATAAGATATGGATGCATAAGACAATTTCAGAACAAATTTTAAGTTAGTGTGAAACTGTGCACCAGAGAAACACAAAGCAACTAGGAGAAGAGTATTATTGTA